CCCCACTCCCTCTGAAGGCGCGGGCTGGGTGCTGTGCTGTGGCCGGTTTGGGACTTTCAGCGTGAAGGCCTCTGGGGCACCCGTTTCTCTGATCCTCTGAGTAAGCTGAGAGATGATGGAATTTGCCTGCCCTCTTATGCCAGTTCCGTCCCTTTGAATTGAATTGCGAGGCCTCCTGGCCCTGTTCCTGCCCTCCCCATCGCCTTTCCATGCTGAGAACAGGAAACGCCTGTTTCTAACTGCATCCAGATGGTCTGGAGAACTGGCGAAGGGAGGGAGAATCCACTTCCTAAGACCCTGGTTTCTATAGGCCACAATCGTCCGGGATGGGGTGGGAAAGGGATCCAGTTGGGTCCCCATGTTGGCTCCCCTTTTTTAGGGTGGGCTGTCTTCTGGCTTTTCCACTGGTGTTTTGCCCGACAGTCCCCACTCGTGGGCACATCCAGCAACAGCCGAGATACACAGCTCTTTCCCACCCAGATAATGAAAGAAGATATTCTTACATTAGCTACCTTTTTTCCTTGCTCCTGGTCCAGCTTCAAAGTAAGTGAGAAACTTTTCCTGTTGGGTGTCTCTGCCAGGCAAAGGACTGGCTGTTTAATATCGGTGGGGCTGGATGTTATGGAAAGCCGCAGGAGTCAGCCCCAGTGTTGGTGGCTGATTTATCACAGAGCTGTCAGCTTGGCACTGAAGCAAGCCAGGTCTAATGTTCCAGCATATAACCTCTTTGTTTCTGAACTTACCTCCTTTGCCCAAAATTGGGATAGGTGCACATCTTGGCTTGTATAACTCTGCCTGTCCACACTGAGAGTGCATTTGGCTCTTACGTGATGCATAAGCCCTTGGTGTATCCAAGATGTTATGTTTTAAGTGATCTCACCAAAGACTATAAAATGTTCCCTCTGGAATAGGTTCTTACTCCCTAGAACAGTGTTTCTCAACTTCAGCGACGTTTAAGATGAGTGGACTTTAGCCCCCAATGGCTGGCTGGGGAATTCTGGGAGTTGAGGTCCACTCATCTTAAACATTGCTGAAGTTGAGAAACACTGCCCTAAAACATTCAGGTGTAATGTTGTAAAGTTGTAAACAGGATAGTTGTAATTACAGCGTCATTCTGAAATGAGTCTCTGGTTCCACGTCATACCCATTTGAGTGTCAAAGTACTTCATCACACATGTTTCCTAGAATGGGATTTTGTCCTGTTAAAGATGGGTGAGAAGGTTGCTCATTCAGGAAGAACAGCTGTTTCAGAATAAGGTGACTTGGGAAATCTGCTCAGATGAAAGCCCTGTGGCTTTAAATAAAATAATAGTACACTCCTCAGTCAATACTATGATTTCATGAAGAGCTGTACGCGAATGGGGGAAGGTACCTTAATTTTTCCATCTAGCCTGGTGTCCTCCAGATGTCACTGGATTGAGTCCCGTTACATCTGGCATATGCCAGAGCAGCAACCGACAGATTTGTGCAAAAGGAGCTCCTTGGACCTAATAACTGGAGGTTATCCTCTACCTGTGAGCTCTGAGCACACAAGCACACTCAGACACACACACACTTGCCCTTCGGAAGAAGAGGCTGCGTGATTCAAGTGACCTGGAATAGGCCTTTCCTGCCACGAGGCTCCCTCAGCTAACTGTGGTACTAGATCTCCTTGACAACATTTTGCAAACTTGCCTTTTCTCGGTTTTCCTCTCACTTTCCTTTCTCATGGTGGGGAGAGTCAAAATAATGGTAAAATCCCACTCTTTTTTTTTTCAAACTTCAGAGATGCCTTCCTGTTGCTATGCCCAAATCATTCCTCCTCTGGGCTGGAGCTAACATTCATATCTGAAGAACCTTTCTCTCCTCTCTCATTCTCCAACTTTTGTTCAGATCCCCCCTCTCTTTGTATCTTGCCTTTCTTCTCCAAAAACGTCCTCTGAGTCAAATAATTTCAATTGTCCAGTGACTAAATTCTCCCAGTGATTCTCCGCTGCCTCCCAGCCAAAGGTATCGCTATCCACAAAGTCTTTGTGGCCGCCCCTTAATTCCGAAACTATAGATGTTTCCTCATTTTTGGCATCTGGAATACATGGCCAGCAAACAGATAGAACTGACAAAAGTGAGCTACCCTCTTTCTCTCTGGGTATCTGGAATATAAACGTCAAAATGCGTGGGAAGAAAGACGACTGCACGAAGGTTGAACGCGTTTAGCCCTTACGTGCTTTCTTCACGGAGCTCAGAATCCTCTTTTTATTTTTATTTTATGTTAAATTGTGCGGGGTCAGTTGGAATAACACCCAAGAAAGGTACGCAAAGGTTTAATAGCTTCTCCTCCTCCTCCTCCTCCTCAATTCTGCATTCGCTCTGTCGCTGCTACCGTTCCGTGTTAATACTGTGTATATCCACACTGTGCTAGGCTCCCTAACCAACCCGGCATCGAGGATCACTTTCTTCATTCGCACAAGGGGGCTAGACTTTTGGAAAAGGAAGCCGAAAAAGTCGCCTCTTTTCCTGGAATTCCCAGCAGTTCTCGCTTCTTAACCCCACAGCACGTGGGAATCCGCCTCTCACTAGGCACGGGTTTCTTTTCACAGAACTGACTTCTCTCCCACACGCCTTCGCTGTTCTTCAAGACAGTCTCGATATCCTGATACCCAGAACTCTAATCTACTCCCGATCCACTCCTCTGTCCCCCTCACGCCCAAAACCTCAATAGGACCGGGCGTCCTGGCTGGATACGCGGGAGGAGGGGGCATTTCGATGGGCTGATGCTTCCGTGCCCCTATTTATCT